AGCGCGTTGAGCGAACATGACTTTATTAAATTAAAGTACTCACTACAAAAACAACAAACAACGACGAATCGTGAAGTCCTCAGTTACAATGACTGACAAGGAACAAAAACCCACAACACTAAGGTGAACACTGACAGTTTAAATATGGCTCCCAATCAGAGATAACGAGCCGACAGCTGACACTCGTTACCACTGATTGGGAGTCACACGACCAAACAAGGAAATGAAACATAATTTATTAAGCTGTGCCTGTTCACTACCCACATACCTAAGCACAGATCTGGGCCTGTATTTATAAAGCGTCTCAGAGTAGGAGTGCCGGTCCAGGATCAGGTCCCTCCTGTCTATGTCAAAACCGACCCTAGATCGCACTGGCATGCTTGTGAATATGGGCCCAAATCTGGATCAAATAGTAGTGTGCCTGTTGATCTGGAGGTCCTCTGTATCGACTGCCTGTCCACTCAGTGTGGTGGCGACTTGCTCCTCCATTAGTAGTCAGAGTATATCTGTTTACCCAGCCAGACATTCCTTCTTGCTGAGGCAGTGGCAAGAGTGCTAATTTTTTCCCAAATGTAACACAACTGGTCTCCCCGACCTCGCCCAATGATTGGATTTGTTATCGCCACTTAATGAGGACTATCAAGCAAGATTATTTCCTATTTCCTGCCAGCCCCCCAGATAAAACAAACTATCCAGGAAGCATTTTACACATCAATCAATCTACTTGCTGTCGTTGTATTGCTGAACAGACTTCTATGAAAATAAGTACTACTACTACAAAAAAACAAACAACGACGAATCGTGAAGTCTCGTTACAATGACTGAAAGGAACAAAAACCCCACAACCCTAAGGTGAACACTGACAGTTTAAATATGGCTCCAACTCAGAGATAACGAGCGACAGCGGAACTCGTTACGACTGATGGAGTCAACGACCAACATGGCGAAACACAACCAAATACAACACAACCATACACACAACCAATGAACACACCCTGTCATTAATACACATCCGGAGCAGAGCGTGACATAGGCCCGGCTTCGAGGGCATTATCACTTTTATACAATGGCTTACCAACATATTCAAATAATGATTGACATATTTTCATTAAAAATGTTATTTTGATTAATTTATTCATACTATTTCATCCTTCCACAAGATATAGTCCCGACACAAATCTAGGGTTGCTACCCAAGCCGGCTGGTCGTTCGTTCTATCGGTTCGGTTGCTAGAGATGCGACCCAGTCATTCAGTCTTTTTGTTCTGTATCTAGTCGTTCATTCTAAATGTTCCATTGCCATACTGGCTGGCAACGTTCTTATCCCTTGCTTGTTAGCTAGCCAACTACGGCTAACTTACAGTCACGTCAAAAAGCCAGAATAACAGCAAAGAGCTTCATTTGCATTTGTTTAAGCTGTTTTCTAGAGACATTTATTTGAATAAATCTCTGTCAATGAGCTAATGAGGCAGGATTTCGCCTGGCATAGAAAATGTGCTCACTCGTCAGGACATTGTTGTTCAGGGCCTGGGAGCTAGCCAACAACACAGCTAACACAATCACTTCAAACTGAAGCTGGAAAGACTGCAAACTAGCTGCATTTCGTTTCGTTTTACCTTTTTTCAAATTGATATTTCTTTGTATATATCCATAAAAATGATGCCAGCTGATTGATGATTTCAACTGGCTGAGAATGGCTGCCTGCCTGTCTGTCTCGTCCCGACTCCCGACATGTTCATTACTATGGGACAGCTGGATATCGAATTTGAATATTGAAACAATGTTGCAAATGTCGGCGAGACAGACAGCAAGGTTTATACAAATCTCCGCTGTTGAAAACTAAATGTTAGTCTAAAAGAAATGTGAGATAATGTCTAGATGCTTTTTATAGTGGAGATCAAGTTTATAAATTGCATGGCTGGGCTGATGAGACAGTGGATTGCGCAGTCAGATGTAACAGAGTAAATAGGCATTTTAACGTCATAGATTTAGCGGGTGGTAACTTGTGGAATAGACAGCAGCTGGAATGCAGTTTTAACCAATCACCATTCAGGATTAGCATCACCCGTTGTATAATCTCTTCTATTATATTCTATTGACTTCTATTGTCTTCTATTGACTTCTATTGTCTTATATTGTGCACAAACCAGCTCTAGTCAGCTACTCCCATAGGCCTCTGCACCCATGACTCACAATGACGCAAACAATAATGTAATTTCATAAATCTAAATATTATTAATACAAATATAAAAATCTGCTGTTTGGTTCTCATAAATATAATTTTAGCACAGGCGTTTAACTGGGTTCTCCTCATTATGCCACAGGAGAAGAGAGCATGACCAGCCCCATGCAGAGAGAGAGAGAGATAGAGAGCTGCTATGGCCAGGCCAGGTCAGAGAGGTGGATGCATCCTGCAGTGTGATCACACAGAACAGAGGAGCTCTGATTGATGGGTAACCTAGGCTCTGTGATTACATCTAATTTCCTTAATGTCCCAGCAAGGATGCACACTGCAAACTTTCCTGTTTCCGCCAGAGATGAGGTAAGTTGCATTTCAAAGTGGATTCTAGATAACATCCATCCAATTCCCTAGCGAAGCCCTGACAGGACAGCCAGGTCAAGTGTACATGTTTAAGTCTGTAATCCCTGTGTCACCACAGTCTCCAGGTGGTCAAACCTTCAATGGAGAGCATCAAGTGGCGGAAGCTTGTGTCACACTCCAGTGTTTATTCCATGTAATCAAACATTCTTTCAATTCCCTACTTTTTTGCGGGAGATGCTTAGCCTGCCCTACAGTATGCATTGAGTGCCATTAACGGTTGCATTCAGACACACATGATACAGTCTCATTCTTTGACATTGAAATTATCTTTCCAATTTTGGCATTGATATTGTATTCCAATTTCATTGTGTAGTATTGATTTGGCAGGTGTAATGAATGTGAGTTTCTGTCGTCTCAACACCCTTTCAATAGATACAACTAACCCTATATACAGTACAGTGCATCATGTCACATGTCAGTGTTCCCTCCCTCTCTGTTCAGATAAGACAATGATTATCTGTCTCCTGACATAACTTACACCAGGTTGATGCACCGTGAGATGCTCTGACCAGAATAGATTGGAAAGGTTACTGTATTGAATTGAAAGTTAGAAACTGGGAACAGAAAGTTGAGGTAGGGACTGAGATGATCCATAGATATGTGGTCATGCTGCATCTGTTCACATATAGTCAGGCCTTTGTTCGGAAGTGGCAATACATTATAGTCAGGCAAGCCTGTAAGCCTACACAACCACCGTTTCCGACCTCTCCGGGAGCACCGAGGGGGGTGGAACCCGGCTCTGTCCAATTTCCCTGATTTAGTGGTTCCGTCATAGGCCCTGCACTCTGTTCAATAGCACTAAAAGCCTCATCCACACTAATGGGGTTCCTCCGTGACGCAAAAGAAGACTCTTGGGCAGGATGCTTTACGATACCTTACCCAATAATGTAAAGTAAGGGGAATAAGATGATGCCCAGAGACCAACAGCTCTGTAATTGGGTCTGAGATACTGGGCCGAATATTGTCAGCCACACCATCGATTCCCTGAAAAGAGCAGTTCACTGAGGAGTCATGGGGAAGGGGGTAGGAATTCATTATGGAATATGAAGTATTGACTATATCATTGTTAGAAAAAAAACACAAGACATGCATTTCACAGAGCTAGTTTAAATTGCCAATGTCTTTGAATCTATAATGTCTCAAATGTTACATATGTCATTAAAAAAATTATGTAGAAAAGGCCTAAGCATGCTGTATATTCTGATAATCTGGTAATTCTGTTAATTTAAATGAAGCAGCCTGACCAACTCAACAATTATGTTTCAATATTATAAATTAAAATATTATAACAGTTGTTATCAAGTAACCTAACTGAATGCATTGCCTCTTGCAAAAATGTATATTTTACATTAATATAACAACACATGATTGTTGTCTGATAATTCTGTAGTACAGCATTTCCCATCTCCGGTCCTCCAGTACCCCCAACAGCACATATTGTACTTGTCAACTAATCATCAAGCCCTTGACAAGTTGAATCAGGTGTTTTTGTCCGGGGCTACAACAAAAATGTGTGCTGTTGGGGTACTGGAGGACCGGAGTTGGGAAAACAGCACGGTGTATTACACTCAAAATGTATCTCAGGAGTTGGAGAGCTGCAATGTGTCTGTTTGTACAGTAGGTGGCTCTGCCAGCAAGTCCAATGAGGATGACTTATTCTCTTGATTCCTCAAAAACATAAAGCAATGGAACATTGTTGGGACCTTTAAAATATGTATAACTATTTTTGGATGATTTCAGTGTCTGCCTGTCTGATTTGGCCCTGTCCTCAATGTAAATTCTGATATCAAATGGTGCAAATGACTGGCAGGTTTTTGTGAATGGAGCACTTTGTGACAGAACAATGACGTCATTTGTGTTCTATCTCCTTTACTGGTTTGTGGTAACCGCTGTAGGGTATCTGATTGGCTAGCGGATGGGGCTGAACGCTCTGATTGGCTAAAATTAGATAATTAAACACCTACTCAGTCAATGCAGAAACCCAAGTGGTAGATATATAAGACAGGGCATTGTAGCAGGGTGCAACAGATTCACAAGTTGGTCCAAAACTTGAAGTACCTCAACTCATTCCATCTTCGTCCACGAGAACAACTAATCACGGTAAGTAGAGAATTTCAACCACTTTTCTGTGTACATGATGCATTGGGTTTGCATGGATGGGATGTCATTTCTGTGGCTATTAGATATTCTGCTAAATCTGCAGAGAGTGTTCCAGTGATGATAGAGGGGACAGAAATAAATGGTGTAGACTTTGCCTAGGCCGTTGACCCTCTGTGAGATGCTGTAGAGAAATGCAGTTCAGATGGCTTTTCAAGGGTAGATGAGGTGATTGTGAGAGGGTCGCTGGGTTTAGACTACAGCTCATTCCACTAATGCATGGGCTCCTGTGGGAGCTGCTGCTGGCTGGCTGGCTGGTTGGCTGGGGCTCCAGCTCATAATCTAGATAGTATCACTTCCTTCTCAATGTCTGCTACTGCATCTCCAAGCCCAGCTCCTCTCTTCAGTTAGAGGGGAGCACTGAGACTAGATGGCTCACTCTGATAGCAGGGAAACAGGGACTTTGGTAGGACTGTCTCGTCACAGAAGGGAAGAGAATGCTTTGGGACAGGGAGAGTGAGATGGGGAGCTTCTTCACTCCCAGTAGAACAGTGAGATACCTGGATGGGTGGAGAAACTGAACTGAAACTGAGATGGATGGAGCTTACATGCGTAGGGACATACAAAGATGTTTGTTTTGATCAGGATGAAATGCTTGTTCAATTCTGCTTTGAGAGAAATTTGAATGTTTTTAAAGCCAAGTTTCTGTGGTTTTGGATGTAATGTGTTTTACCGCAGGGACCATGGTTATGATGAAGCTCTCTGCCCTCCTCTTCGCCTATTTCCTGGTCATTTGTCAGATGTACAGTTCACATGCAGCTCCCGCCAGGTGAGGATCAAAGCATGTTTTATACACTGCAATGTCCAGTCAGTCACTGAAATGTATGTATAGATTACAGGGATGTTCATTTATAGCAATCCCAAAAGGAAAGGGCATAGATCCCATTGGGATACTTCTATCTTTCTATTAGTAATTGCTGTTATTTCATTGATAATTTTCTAAAGAGGTATCTTGGCAGCCATATAAATCTAATGCATGCTAATTTAGATTATTTCGTTTTCAGATAACACAATGTGATTACAGAAATCCATACATTACGTTACATTAAATGCCCTCTTTACAGTAATGTGATCCAATTGGATTACGATATCGTAATCTAATCAATCCGGTGACTCATAAAGCCATTCTATTTATAACTTCCTAACCACTTCCATCCATTTGGAAACAATCCAGCTTAATGCCACAGCAATAGGCTAAGATGATTGCTATTGCATGTAGAATATTTCCAAATGGTTGTAGAATGCATGGGTGTTCAATATTCCAGATAGAGAGACCTTGGTCACCATTCTTACTACAGTATTGATTTAGTCATAAAGCTCTAAGTTGGCTACCTGTCAGCTTTTTAAAAGGAACACTTTTAGCAGATTGTTTTGAGTTTGGCTGATATCCCTTAAAGCATGAGGCAATCGCTTTTAGCTGGAGCAAACTCACATAACCTACGTCATACTATTTTTAACCCAGTGCTGGTGCAGTTTCTGTCTGATCAACCTAATCGCCTATGTGTTTTCAGAACTGGTTTAGAGTCCATGACAGACCGAGTCACGCTAACTGACTATGAAGCCCGAAGGCTACTCAACGCCATCGTCAAGGAGTTTGTGCAAATGACTTCAGAGGAACTGGAGCAACAAGCCAATGAAGGAAATAGGTAGGTACAGCTCTCCTCATCTCCACAACTTGTTTATAACAACATTCATTTTCATTTTCTCTAGGTTTACTTGGTTTATACTATATGGATGACACATTTTCCTATTATTCAAGAAAACATATAACCCGAAATGTCTTGTTAATATGTGGCCAGTCCTTTGCTGCCTCCTATAGCAGTCAGAGCTATGGGTATTTATTAAAGACACAGAGGTATGGACATCTCCCAACCATCAACAGGGAAATCTATAGTTAAAACATATATTCTCTGTGATTATCTATGCATGGATTTTTGGAACACTTAATTTTGATGTATTCATTATTTAAGCATTGTTTATGAGAAAGCCTGTTGCGGAATGCTAAATGATAAATGACCCTAAAGAATGGAAGAAAGCATGTGAATTAGTGCAAGAGGAATGGGATGCATGACAGCAGTTGTGCTGTTTGTTATAATTTAACTACGATGCTATAAACAGGATTGCCGCATGAGCCTAATTAACTGAGGGCATAATAGCTATAGACTATTTTCAATTGCCTGTGTTGGACTTGATAGCATGGCTCTAAAATGTTATTTCTTATATAAATGCAAGTAAAAACGGACTTTGAAATGCATGATGTTGGAATACAGTGTTATTACTGTAGCATGTGGATAACAGCAGGATGCATCTGCATGCCATGGTTACTATGAGCCTGTTTCTGCATGTTTGTCTCTCTCTCTAACAGCCTGGATAGACCCATGTCCAAGCGTTGCTCCAACCTCAGCACCTGTGTGCTGGGCAAACTGTCCCAAGAGTTGCACAAATTGCAGACATACCCCCGCACCAACACGGGAAGTGGCACGCCTGGCAAGAAACGCAGCCTGCCTGAGAGCAACCGCTATGCAAGCTATGGAGACTCATATGATGAAATCTGAGTGGCCCTTCCCTCCATCAGCCCTAGTTAACCTGACCCCTCTGTTCTGTTCCATCCTAGCCTGATGATTGCTGATGCATGTGGATCTTGCTTGCTTGACTGACTGCAGAGAAACCTTGATGTCCCGCAATGTCCCTACTCTCTTTTTCTTTTGTTAAAATCCCCTTTTTTGACAGAGAATAAGATACATAAGTACAAAGCAGAGTCCAATCCTTTAGATTTAGAAAGTGAATAATAATCGAGTTACACTTCCCCATCTTAAGGTGTATGATATCCCTTTATTATACAGATCATTCACAATATATTACAATTGTTAATCAAATCAAAAATCTTAATCAATGCTTCTTTCAACCGTGACTAGGTTTCTTGTTTAATAAACATATTTTTTATACCAGAACATATTTTCCTTCTTAATTATTCAAGTGAAACAACGCCAATTTAACATCTTTAATAGTTCACAACAGTTTGAACAATATTGGTGAAGCCCCAATGTATTTGCTATGTAAATGTAAATTCACAATACATTTGAGGTAAGTTGAATAACTAATTTGAGCTGAATCTCATTGTTTAGATCTCTGAATGTGTGAATGTCTTCATTTTCAATTTGATGATATATATTATACATTTTCTCCAGCAAACAGTAATTTATTACCTTGTACTTTTTATTGTAATTTATACATTTTGTATCTTTGTAATAAATCCTGAATTTAGGAGAGGTATGTATGACCTGTCCTTTCTCTTCCTAAAAGCAGCGTTACAGCACAGAAGCGTGCGTGCAATACTGCCACATGTGCCACCCACCGCCTGGCTGACTTCCTGAACAGATCAGGAGGAATGGGCAACAGCAACTTCGTCCCAACCAACGTGGGCGCCAAGGCGTTCGGACGACGAAGGAGAGACAGCCCCATGACAGCACCTATGTGAATGTGTCAACAGGCCTCAGGGATATGGTATGACAACATTCTACACTTCTCTCTCTTCCCACTGCTGTGCCTCTGACTGTCAACCTCTGTCTGTCTCTACTGTATCTCTAATGCTCTTTCCCCAGCCTCTGTCTTTCCACATCGATTCTACTTCAGTACTCTTCAGATAGTCTCTTTGTAACGTTGCCGGCCTTCAAATTTGGTCTGTGTCTTATGGATGAACAAGTTGGGAGTAAGAGTTCAGTAGAAAGGAGGATAACCAGTCATTTCCTTCCATTCTCTCTCCCTGCAGAGTATTAGCACTCCAGTGAGACAACAATACATCATGTCCTGAACCAACTACAGACAACTGAAAATGACAACTCTTCACTGTTAAAAAAAAAACAGCCTTCAAACTACAGGACTAATTTCCTGCATACCTCTTGCATACTCTGTGTTAACCGATATTCATTTCTGCTCTATGACCATGAGGAGATAAAACAACCTAGAAAACATTACAACAAAAAATAAAGAACAAACTTCGGTTATGTCTATTTTCACCAGATCATTACTCTATACAAGCCAGTTGGAAGTGAGAATGGCCTTATTGGTTCTTTCCCGTTTTGGCTTAGAGCACATGTACAGTTTGACCCTGAGTCCCCACCCCTCCTCTCTCCTGTGTCAGCAGCACACCGCAGGGGGGCAGAGACTACATTCAAGCTCTGCCCCCACAAGCTTCCCTGACCATGGCTGTGTCTTGTGCCTTGATGTAGACCACTTCTTTACATGTCATTAATTGTACAGTATGTTTAAAGAGTGAAAGGAAAAAGATCAAAGAATCTAAATATTGTAACAATTGTGAATCTAAGCAAGATTAAAATGTATTTTAGATACATATGGGTCGGAGTCCTTGTTTTATTCTGCAATGATCTATCTAAGCCCTTAGATCGCAATATCTACTAAGCTAACATATGTAATTGTTTTAAGACGGTCATAAAATTGATCATTTAGCCATTTGATTTTGAATTTTAGGACCCTGTGGGTATAAAAAAAATATATATATTTTTTAAAATGATTTGATGAAACATTGAATTTGGTATTTACTGCTATAGGCCATACAAACACATTGAATAACACATTTGTATATGGCAAAACTGACAGTCAAAAAAGAAATCATAAGGAATAAGGTTTTGAAGAGTCTGTCCTATATCTGGCAATCTGGTCATGTTATTAGTGGCACATTTTGCCATTTTTACAGCCCGGTATTGGGTTACCTTCAGATGACTCCCCAGAAGCTTGTGTGCTTCGTAGAGCAGAACAACCAACACTTTCGTGTTCGTTTAGTTTGTAGCTCCGACTGTTCGGTCCGGACAGTCAGTTTCGTGAGAACACCTCTTCGAAATGAGGATGTCCGCAACAGAGAGTTCAGGCAACTGCTGTAAAGCTTGTGGATGGTACACGACATTTAACATTCCCAACATGAGCAGTTTCTTATGGTACATGACACTTAACATTACCAACATTTCCAACGTATCATACTGTATATGTTCAGATCGTCAACATAGCCTTGATCACAATGCAGTGTTCCACATTATATTCCCAAATATTATTTAATTGAATTTGACCTAATGGTTAAAGAACAAACATCATGCATTTATCCACATTTAAGAAAAGGTATAGAGTGTTTATACACTGATCTTTCCAGGACAAAAGCAAAAGGCTATTTTACATACCACAACCACATCCAGGACCATATTGATATTGTTTACTCATTATTACTCCCTAAACACAACAAATGAGTACCAGCGATACAGAGAACGTAGTCTATACCAAACATTATAGTTGTATTCTCCATTGAACATATAAAGACATCATTTTTTCATATTTCATACTGATGTCACCAATAACATGTTAATTGGTTTCAGATCAATAATGACTTTAATAATTGCACATACAGTATAGGTACATATGTTTCAGTAACATAGGCCTATATGTGTGATTCTGCACTAGTCTGTGAGTTAGGTATACTGATCTAGAGTATTTTCAGTGTATTTCTGTAGCCAGGTCCACGCCAGCCCTGCCAATGGGATTTACACAGCATCTCCATTAGCTCTGCTTTGCCCCATTTCATCAAACACCCACATGATCTCTCCAAGATACTACACCCCACACAGCTATATCCCATGTCACAGAGCCACACCGCCGGCTGGGATAACTATTCTGTTATATTTACATTTACCATGAATAAAGAATATTTTATTGTTTCAGGTTTAATGCATATTCTCTGTCTGGGTGAATAAAAAGTGCAGTAGTTGACATTGTTAATAATATTTCAGAAATAAAATGGGACTGAGCATAAAAGTAATGAAAAGCTTTGCTGGGATACATTAAACCAAATCGAGGGATGGAAAGAGGCTTACAATCCTTATCAATAGTAGAGCTTCCACATCAGAGTTGTGTATTGGCTTTGTGAGGCAGTGATTTGCACGTAAAATATATTTTGTGGTAAAGATGGCGACAGTTATTCTGACCTCTTGTCAACAGATTACAGACACAACTCACAAGGCCCACATGTTATTTCCTTATTAGCTCCTTTGTGCTTTGTTAAAGGCAGTGGGTCTCCTGGGTCTCTGTGAAGACAGTCTGAGCTGCAGAGCTTCACGCCTGCTTGTCTTCCCTAATTGACGTGTTTGTTCTCCCACTACTTTGACCTCTCTTTTCATCTCCTCTTCTGGGAGAGGAGGCTCCAGTTTGTTTTCAGTATCAATTCATTTCAACCCCCTAAGGAGGTCTGCTTAATAAGGCTGTGCTTTTTTTTACACCACCGAATGAATTGTATTATAGTAATGCTAACAGGTTTATCAGCTTTTAATATATCCAGTAGGGAATATTGTAGCATGGCATTAGAGCTAGCAAAGCTGTTGATTTGTATGAACTACATGTATCTGTATCATGGATAATACTACAGTACATGGAAGTTGTATATGGATGTATGCTGACCTGTGCATTGTGTTGCGTTGGAGTCATGTGCAGAATGTACGTCATATACAACACACAGTGCATACTATAGGTCTGTTTTCCCGTCATCTGTATTACAAATAGCTCTCATTCTGTGTTTCATAATTCTCCCATCATCATAATCTTCTGCAACAACAACAGCCATCACAGGTGTTGTCCTTACTTCACCCTGGTGGTGAAATGTATCCCATCCAGGGAGCTGAGGCTTTGTTGATTAACCTGGCTGCTCTCATATCATAGTAGTGACTCAGTTCATAATATGACTCTGCTTCATCTCTAATGCCCCATCTATCCCTCCATCCCTCCATCCCCCTCCATCCCTCCATCCCTCCATCCCTCCATCCCTCCTCCCTAGCCTATCCTCCATCCCTCTAGCCCTCACATCCCTCCATCCTCTAAGCCCTCCATCCTCCATCCCTCAGCCCTCCATCCCTCTAGCACCTCACTCCATCCCTCAGCCCTCCATCCCTCCATCACCATCCACTCGCCTCCATCCCTCCATCCCTCCATCCCTCAGCCCATCCCGACCACCCCAGCCACTCCATCCCTCCACCCTCTACCCTCCATCCCTCCTCCCTCCATCCCTCATCCCTCCATCCCTCATCCTCCATCCCTCATCCCTCCATCCTCAGCCTCCATCCCTCCATCCCTCTAGCCCTCCATCCCTCCATCCCTCCATCCCTCTAGCCCTCCATCCCTCCATCCCTCCATCCCTCTAGCCCTCCATCCCTCCATCCCTCCATCCCTCCATCCCTCCATCCCTCCCATCCCTCCATCCCTCTCATCCCTCCATCCCTCCATCCCTCCCTCCCTCCATCCTCCATCCCTCTCCCCTCCATCCCTCCATCCTCCATCCCTCCATCCCTCATCCCTCCTACCCTCCATCCCTCCATCTCTACCCTCCATCCCTCCATCTCTACCCTCCATCCCTCCATCTCTACCCTCCATCCCTCCATCTCTAGCCTCCATCCCTCCATCCCCTCCATCCCTCCATCCCTCCATCCCTCCATCCCTCCATCCCTCCATCCCTCTAGCCCTCATCCCTCCATCCCTCCATCCCTCCATCCCTCTAGCCCTCCATCCCTCCATCCCTCCATCCCTCCATCCCTCCATCCCTCCATCCCTCCATCCCTCTAGCCCTCCATCCCTCCATCCCTCTAGCCCTCCATCCCTCCATCCCTCTAGCCCTCCATCCCTCCATCCCTCCATCCCTCTAGCCCTCCATCCCTCCATCCCTCCATCCCTCTAGCCCTCCATCCCTCCATCCCTCCATCCCTCTAGCCCTCCATCCCTCCATCCCTCCATCCCTCTAGCCCCCCATCCCTCCATCCCCTCCATCCCTCCATCCCTCCATCCCTCTAGCCCTCCATCCCATCCATCCCTCCATCCCTCTAGCCCTCCATCCCTCCATCCCTACATCCCTCCATCCCTCCATCCCTCCATCCCTCCATCCCTCTAGCCCTCCATCCCTCCATCCCTCCATCCCTCTAGCCCTCCATCCCTCCATCCCTCTAGCCTCCATCCCTCCATCCCTCCATCCCTCTAGCCCTCCATCCCTCCATCCCTCCATCCCTCCATCCCTCCATCCCTCCATCCCTCTAGCCCTCCATCCCTCCATCCCTCCATCCCTCTAGACCCTCCATCCTCTAGCCCTCCATCCCTCCATCCCTCCATCCCTCCATCCCTCCATCCCTCCATCCCTCCATCCCTCTAGCCCTCCATCCCTCCATCCCTCCATCCCTCCATCCCTCCATCCCTTCAACCCTCCATTCCTCTATTCCTCATATTTCTATAGTTTTATAGGTTATTGTGCTGCAGATGCTTTACCACCTATGCTTCCATTATAATTTGTCAGCTGACAGTCAACAGGTCCTAACTGTTTCAGGGATGAATTCCTCTACAGTGGGGAAAAAAAGTATTTAGTCAGCCACCAATTGTGCAAGTTCTCCCACTTAAAAAGATGAGAGAGGCCTGTAATTTTCATCATAGGTACACATCAACTATGACAGACAACATGATTTTAAAAAAATCCAGAAAATCACATTGTAGGATTTTTAATGAATTTATTTGCAAATTATGGTGGAAAATAAGTATTTGGTCAATAACAAAAGTTTCTCAATACTTTGTTATATACCCTTTGTTGGCAATAACACAGGTCAAACGTTTTCTGTAAGTCTTCACAAGGTTTTCACACACTGTTGCTGGTATTTTGGCCCATTCCTCCATGAGCAGTGATGTTTTGGGGCTGTCGCTGGGCAACACGGACTTTCAACTCCCTCCAAAGATTTTCTATGGGGTTGAGATCTGGAGACTGGCTAGGCCACTCCAGGACCTTGAAATGCTTCTTACGAAGCCACTCCTTCGTTGCCCGGGCGGTGTGTTTGGGATCATTGTCATGCTGAAAGACCCAGCCACGTTTCATCTTCAATGCCCTTGCTGATGGAAGGAGGTTTTCACTCAAAATCTCACGATACATGGCCCCATTCATTCTTTCCTTTACACGGATCAGTCGTCCTGGTCCCTTTGCAGAAAAACAGCCCCAAAGCATGATGTTTCCACCCCCATGCTTCACATTAGGTATGGTGTTCTTTGGATGCAACTCAGCATTCTTTGTCCTCCAAACACGACGAGTTGAGTTTTTACCAAAAAGTTATATTTTGGTTTCATCTGACCATATGACATTCTCCCAATCCTCTTCTGGATCATCCAAATGCACTCTAGCAAACTTCAGACGGGCCTGGACATGTTCTCAATTCTCAATTTGTCTGTCATAGTTGACGTGTACCTAT